TGAGCCACCACGCCCGGTCCATTTTCTTAGATTTAATTAATAAAAGGCCATCTACATTTAGGCTTTGTATTTTCTGAACAAACCTTTGACCAAATAAAAGTGTAGATTTTGTTTCAGACTCATTGTATGATGATGGAGAGCAGCAAATTACAATAGTGGTTCTACAGTTGCCACCTAGTGAATCTTGAAGGATTCTTGTCATTTTACTATCTCGATATGGAACATATGTCTACATAAAAAAACAAAGAAAACAGAAGGATCAGTGGGTTTCTAGATAATAAAATTTATTATGTAAATATGCTACTTTAAATAAATTAAAAAATTATTTCAGTTATTTTAACTGCTTGATATTAAGATGCAAAGTAGGATATATGTACTAATACTATAAAATAAACTCCTAAGTAACAACTAATTTACACATGCTGATTCAAACACAGCGAATCTCTCACACACACGCACACACACGCACACACACTCATGTGTACATATACATTTGTGTTTAAATAATTTCCCATAAGATAATGGGGAAATAGAAGACATGTATACTCACACTACCCTCAGCCAAAGCAGAAATGACATTTCCAAGAGCAGAAAGTGACTTGTTGATGTTCTTAGCTTCATCCAGCACAGCACCTTCAGCTCCAGTTTTACTAACCTATACATAATATTTCAAAAGAATGAAACGAAAGTACAAGTTTAAGATCACATTGAGTTTTCTAAAAAGTTCACACATCATCAATAACCAGTAAAAAAGAAAGAAAAATATGAAAAGCTTCTTGATGTTAACTGCCAAGCACTGACCCTAAGGTACCACTATTTCTTGAGTACTACTCTTCTAAGAACTTGGTCAAGCAACTAGTTATATGACAAGATTATGATTAAAGAGACATCAAATCTTATTTTTAATTTGTGGGTCCCCCTGAAAATAACCAATTTACATGTAAATTTTGTAGTTCATTAATTTGTTAGTCTCCTTTTGCTACATTAGAAGAGAGAAATCTTCTAAAATTTGCAAATACATAATGCTGATATAATTGTTAGAAAATGGAGACTGAGTTTAAACACATAAGCAAACTTGTTTCTTTTTCAAAAATATAAGACGTATAAATACCTACGTTAAAGATAGGTTAGACAAATAAATAAGCAATGCTGGCAGAAGAGATGGCTTCTAAGAATTCACAAGATTACAGATAGTCTTTGAAAGACGTGTATAAGACTTCTGAGTAAAATGAAATAGGTACATCATTCTAAGCAGAAGAAACAAAATTAGCAGAACAGCAAAAATGGTCACAGAGGTCCATATTAAAACATTCAAACTTATTCTGATTTCAGTTTAAACTAGAATCAGACTGTGTAGAACTATAACAAAGCAATAATCATCTAAAGGAAAGAAATAAGTACAACCAAACCAGAAAGGATTAATGGATATAAACCTGTTTTAACAGGAGCGCACTGCCAATATGGATAAAATAGATACCAAAAATTAAGAAAGGGATACCTTATGAAATTTTTAATGACATACGACAAACAAATTCTCAATAAAAATATACATCTTAGTAAAAGATAGCACGTATTGGCTGAAGTGGACTATGGTCAAATAACAGTAATTTAGAACTGATTATTCAGTTTATATAATCACAAAGCATTGGTATCAACAGTTGTAATTCTCAGATTACCAAACCCAATTTGGTAAATTTTCAAGATGTAACAATGAGTCCTTCATGAGTCCCAATTCAAGCTAAAGTTTATAAAAATATTTAAATATTTATCAAAATATATAAAGACTTTACCTTTTCACTACCAGCTAAATCGACCAGATAAAGTTTTCCACTCAGCTTTTGCTCCGTTTGTGTGTTCTCTTGTTTTACATTAATAAGAAATATACTGTGACTCCTAGAGCTATGTTCATTCATATCTGCAATGAAATTACACAAACTATAAACAAACATGGCTTTCCTTTACTGACAATTTTTCTGCAGCATTAATTTACATAAATAAAAAACTGATAATCAACTGGATAAGAATATTTTAAGGTTGTTTTATACCCTAGCCCCAGTGTTAAATACTCTACTTACTTGTAACTGCTACATGTCTGTTCGATTTTCCTTCATCTATGGTATCCATAACTTCATCCGGACTACATACAAAACGCTCTGTGCATCCCTGTGAAATAATTTTTAAAAAATTACTTTGATATCTTTTTTTTTTTTTTGAGACAGAGTCTCATTCTGTTGCCCAGGCCAGAGTGTCATGGCGTTAACCTAGTTCACAGCAACCTCAAACTCCTGGGCTCAAGCAATCCTTCTGCCTCAGCCTCCCGAGTAGCTGAGACTACAGGCAT